ATAGAATGACCAAAATCACGCTTGTGATTCAATACGAACACACGGAAAATTGAATGTCTGGAACAGAAGAAACATTAGCCAACCTACCAACCTGGATTCGAACCGACAACCTTAGGGGTTCAGGACCAGAGGCTTAGCAGAGTGCGCCACACAGTTGACGCACACTTAACAGGCTGCAGAAAAAGGGTTAAGGTGGGAGAATAATCTCACAAAATCGTGATTTAGCATTTTACACAAAAGCACAATTGAGATCCTCAGATTCGGCATGACCCAAGGAATCCATAGACACCATGATCATGATTTTCTGACTAACTGTTCAAAAGTTATAAGGCAAAATGTGCATTTTTAGTATGTCACGACCCATAGGTGGCGCTGTTCCCAAATTTGGCATGGACCCTCAGATCATGTTGTTGATGAAGCATACCAAGTTTGGTTTTGATTGATCAAAGTTTGGCCGAGATACAGCCTCTGAACCAATTTGGGTCGACCTCGTTAACTTCACAACATCATAACTTTTTTTTTTCACTAGTAGTCAAAAAGTTCTGTTCAGTCATTTCTATGCAGTGCGGTCCAAAGATCATATTATCAGAATTTGGGCAAAATTGGGCAACATTTCTGGGAGGAGTAGCGAAAAAACAATTTTTGATTTACTTCAATATGGCAGACAGACACCCTGTTGGAAAATGACAAATGAGACATTGTCAGAATCGGCATAACCCAAGGAACAAAATGACATAAATATAACTAAATTTGGACAACATTTTCAAAAGTTATAAGTGTTTTTGCAAGAATTTTTATAGCTCTGGAACACTAGGTGGCGCTGTCTTCAAACTTCCGGGGTACCTCAGGGACATGGTGTTGATGATCCCCACCGATGTTTGAGCAGATATGTCAAATGGTTCAAAAGATATTGCAATTTATGACAAATTTCAAAATGGCGGACAAGTGGTTCAGGCAATATTTACATGCACAGATTCAGCATGACCCAAGGAATCCATAGACACTAAGATCATAATTTTCTGACTAATTGTTCAAACGTTATAAGCGAAAATGTACATTTTTGGTATCTCACCACCCATATGTGGCGCTGTTCCCAGCTTTGGCAAGGACCCTCAGATCATGGTGTTGGTACCAAGTACCAAGTTTGGTTTCGATTGATCAATGTTTGGCCGAGATACTGCCTCTGAACCGATTTCCCTTGTTAAGCTTTTTTTTTCACTAGTAGTCAAAAAATAATCAGTAATTTCTGTGCAGCTCAGTCCAAAGATCATGTGAGCCAATTTTGGGAAGAATTGGTTAAATATTGAAGGAGGAGTAGGGAATAGACTATTTACTGTACTTTTCAAAATGGCCGCTACTGTAAGGGGTGGAGTCTTAATGTAAGCAATTGAATGTGATCTCCATGAAGATAGTAATCATGTGTACTAAGTTTCATTTTTCTAGAATCAGGGGTTCAAGAGTTATTACCATTTCAATATTGAATTTTTTAACTGGTGGTGGCGCTATAGAGTTAGTTCTAGAGACCCCAAAGTTGGTCAGATCCCTATTCATGGCCATCACTACAATTGTGCAAAATTTCATAATTTTCCTATGTTCTGTTCATAGGGCTGCCATAGAACCCCATTGGGGAAAAATAATAATAATACTAAAACATAAAGATACAATAGGGGCTACAGCCCTTCGGGCCTGGCCCCTAATAACAGAGGAATAATACAGGATTAACACAGTAATAACACAGTAATAATTCAGTAATAACACAATAACACAGGAATAATACAGGATTAACACAGTAATAAC